GATCATGCATCAAGTTTGGGCCTCTTTTGCTCGATGGTTCGCCGAACCATTTACGGAAAAGAAATAAATCGCTTATATCTCAGTAAGATAGAAGCGACTTATTTCTTTTCCGTAAAATATCAATAGTTCCTGACTTAAGAGAGATGAAAACGTTATCTTTTTCGTAAAATTTAACCGCGGCAATTATATCCGCCTGAAGGAAATTCATTAGCGGCATTTGTGACGACTATGGATTGGATTACAGCATTACAGATTATTCTTATACTTACATCATCGGTCGATAGCGATGTATCACTCGATCATTTTGTAGCTAATTTGACTATTGCCTATCGGCTAAAAGTAGATGCAGCGAAAGCACAATTCCCTCAATTGAAAACACCAGGAAATTTTATGAATATGAATGATGTAAAAAATTCATTTGCTAATATTCGTCGTTATACAGCTTCTGACGTTCAAGTAACTTCAAGTAAATATGGATGGTCAGTTTTTACACCAAAAAATCCACAAGATGATTCGACAACAATAACAGTTATCGAATGTGTGTTTCTCATAACGGGAGTGAACGTTGCCTATATAAGAGTTACATATACTGATCAACATCAAATTCAATTGTTACATCCGGAGACAGGGGCTCTTTTGCAATTTTCATCAGCAAGCAATTTATCCGTTTATGGTCTTCCACCGTTTCACGCCACTGCTCTTTTAATCGAATTTTTTCCCGTAGAAGGACAAACAATACAGACAGAAACAATTGTAATTGGTCTAGTTTGTGTGTTTGAAGTTGGCTTAATTCAAGCAGCTACTCCGATGGCACCGATTGCTACACAAACATCGGTAGTTACTGATGCTATAAACATTGACGACAATCGACATAGACAAGTAACGACTAGCGCCGATGAAAGTGTCGGAGTTAATAGCACAGAAGGTAGCGGTGGCACAGTCACTGAGTCACCTTCAATTCAACAGACTACCACAGAATATAAAGTGCAAAAGATTACGCGCACAGCCCCATCTAAAGGAACTGGTACAACAAATTGCCAACAAGAGAGTAATCCAAATGTTGTTCTGACAGATGGAGATGATGGATCTTCTTTCGCTTACCTTGATATCCAAAAGATATTTGTGGACAAAGTGTCTGTCATTGAAGCTATTCAAGTAGACGGCGTAACTAGTGCAGCAATTGCATTTTTGGGTCCAATGAAAGAGATACTGGCTGGTCCGTATGAAATTAAGGGACAGGTTCCTCTCCAAGGTGTTCCGGCTTTAGCTGTAAGTTGGATTAATGTGATTGTACCGCCCAATAGTGATCAAACAGCAATTGCTGTTAATGTAACATACCTTGTGTGTTTCGAAGAAGGGATAGCCGTTGATATTCCACCAATGGATACCACATCAGGCACAGATTTAGGTGCTATAGTAAAGACAACGCGGCATTCCATTGTACACAACTGTGTCAAATATAGATTGATGCAGAATTCAACATTTCTGGAAAATCCGAGAAGCGACGTTAATATAACTAGTTATATTCGAATTCCCCTTTCAATCGCTCAGGATCCAGTATTGAAATCAGTTATTGTAAAAGGTCTGAATGTTGGTTTTATGATCGTTTCATGGGTTGATACCTATCATAACATACTGTCAGACCCTGCCACGGGACAAACTATGACATACAGTCAATTGGTAGATGATTCTGGTACAGTAGCAATGTATTTTCTACGTGTAACGCTCTCGACATCAAGGATCAAAATCACAGTTGGCCCAAGATCTTCTGTGGGAGGTCTACCTTCTATTACTAAAATGAACTTTTTGGCATGCTATCCAAAATCGCCACCATGGGGGGGCTTTACAAATCCATCGCTAACGTACCAGGCAACCAACAGTCAATCTTTTGCTCCACAACCTGCATTCAACAACATCACAACAATTCAACCATTGGCTACAAAACAACCGACAGTAGTAACAGATGCGTCGGTTACTCAATCTCACTTTGCAACAACGATCCAATCGATAACACAAATATCTCGACTTCAAGGTACAGACGTTCAAACGTTTACCAGTAGTTTTGATTCGACAACTGTTAACTGCAATGAACACGGCGGTCTTCTTGGAACGGGAACTTATCCTACTAATTTCGAACAGGGTACAACACACACCACTCACAAACCTTTCAAATCGCAGGTAAGTCTTTAATTCATATGATCCACGTGAAAACTTTTCTTTGAACATTCTAAAGCTATTCCTTTACTGAATTTTAGAAATACAAGACTGTAAGTAAATGTGTAAAGAAAACAGACAAGATAGTGATTAGTCTCAAGTTTTTAAAAATATTCATTACGGTGTAGCCAGCTAACTCTGCTACCGCAAAGGAATTCCGTAACGTTTTTTCTTTAATTTGTTGTGTCGATATATACCGAACTGAACTATGCAGAGAGTCACGAGACGTCTTAAATTGAAGAAAAAAGCCTTCTGAACATTTTAAGACGTACGTGCATTCTAGAAAATACCTCTTTCTGAGGATCATAATAAAACATTGACTTCTGTTTTTCAAGAATTCAAATTCTTCAGAATCGAAAAATAGCACTCAATGTTTTATTACGATCCTTAGAGAGAGGTATTTTCTAGAATGCACATACGTCTTAAAATGTTCAGAACTTTTCTCTTCAATTTAAGACGTCTCGTGACTCTCTGCATAGTTCAGTTTGGTATATATCGACACAACAAATTGAAGAAAATACATTACGGAATTTCCTTGTGGTAGCAAAGTTAGCTGACCACGCCGATTAGTGTTTTCATTTAATTTTAGTCAAAACATTATGTTATATGTAAAATATTGCCATGATTTTTTTCGAATTTTCTAATCATTGTATTCTTCTTTTGTTTAGAGATTAAAGAAAATTAAATCGGTAAGCAATTTTTCAAATTAAGGCTTTTGCAAGTGGCAACTATCTGTTGTAAAAAGTTTCCTTCGTATTTTATTGACACAATGTTTTACTTCAGCTGTAATAACATAAACATAGTTTCTACAATTTTCTTTTTTTTTCTACATTATCACAAAGGGGGCAAACACTAGAGTACCAGTAACTTGTGTGAAGATTAAATTTTTCATTACTCTTTTTTAGTCTGAATCACACAAATCCATAGCGGTAAGCGAAACCGAGAACAAACGTTCACCACTGTAAAACAAATTATTTGTCTTTTTCTCTTTAACTAGGCTACGAAGAGTCCAACGTACACGACCGTAATGGTATGTAATAACTCGGTCAAAAAGTGCTGATGAATGTTTACTGTTTTTGTCTAGTCCCTTCCTGGTCATGTCTGTTTAAATCAAGTGCCCTTATTTGGTATTTATGCAATGTGGATATTGGATGTAACTGTATCTGCTAATCATAAAAAGCCACTTGACTTCATTAATCCTGGTAGTGGATCTGGAATAACATTTTATTCAAAAGAACCACAAGCAATTATATTTACGTTAGCTTATTCTGCTATAATCAGTTATTTTAAAGTTCTGTCATCGAATTTAAATTATTTCAATATTACGTACCATAATGAATTAGGCGATTTCCTTGCTCATCAGTTATCATCATTTGGCTTGAATCCGATGGTCACTGGACTGTCCGATATCTACGTGTCAAGTATAATTCTCACATTATTATCTACACAGGATGAACTCCCGCCAGCAGATGTGTCCGTAGATATGGGAGCGTGCGTTTTATATTCAGCATTGTCAAGTACAACAGTAAGCAATAAATTTTACATAACCAAAAACTTTCGGCATTTTAGGTATTTCCAAGTTCATCTTTTCTGTTATATTCGCAAAAATTGAAGAACTTCACTTTTAAGATTCGTAAAGCACGCAGATAAGGCGTACATCTTCATCGACACGCGAAGACAATTCATTGTTATAAATATACTTTGGCAACACTCTGATTTTCTCTCACTTTTTTCAGCTCAGTCACAAACCGAAGCACCTGGTTTCATCACTAAAACAATGTTAAACCTTCTTGTTTCTTATATAACATACTTCCATGAATATATGAAAGAGTTTCCATTCGAGTTCGTCATTGATTAATTTTCAGACAATGATCTGATCCATTTACTTGATAACCCAAAGACGTCAAAATGGCAAGAAACATAGGCAATTTACTATGCAGAGTAACTAAACAATGTTCGTTTCAATAAAAGCTCACCAAAACAGAAAAACACTGTACTGCATATATAACACCCAAATCCTTCTTAGGCATATCTTTAATGATCGGCCCACCTGTCTCGATACTCTGACCAACTCACTTTGTACAGAATTTCACGGGCTTCGTAATGATATACAATATCTCTATGTACCTTGGCTCTGAACCTGGAAAAAGGCTCTTTTACTATAGATACCACATGAGAAAACAATTAACTTACTGAAACTTATTTCAAAAACAACTAACGAGAGAACTATCCCAAGTGTTAATCACAGATGCTAACAAGAGGTACCCCAATCGATAGAGCTCGACGAGCTGATTCTAGTGGCATAAAGCATTTTTCCCAATGTTTCTTGAAGACCCAGTTTTCTAGAAAATCAGTTTTTCAGAAACATTAAAAAATAGCCAAAACATTTTTAAATAAGATATAATTGTAGCGCGCACATTTCTGATTAAAATGAGACATTCTCCAGCTCTACATGACGTTTATTTGCAAAGTTATAGAATTTACAAGAAAAGCCCTAAATGTTCATAGTCGGCTCAAAGCTACAGAAATAAGAAGAAATTAATTCAGGGCTTTTCTTGTAAATTCTATAACTTTGCAAAAAAACGTCATGTAGAGCTGGAGAATGTCTCATTTTAATCAGAAATGTGCGCGCTACAATTATATCTTATTTAAAAATGTTTTGGCTATTTTTTAATGTTTCTGAAAAACTGAT